AGACACTTGGGGACCCTCCTACCTACACGGAGAAGCCTCCTTCCTTGAAGACTATAGACTCCAACAAATCTGAAACATGATCTCCAAGACCAGAGAGTAGATAGCCTGCCCCAGGTACACATCAGGAAGGTGGTCTCACTGTAGGGATGCCCAGAGCAGCAAGGAGTGGCTCCCTATTTGGAAAAGCTCCATGTGATCAACATTTTACCAGAGCCCAACCAAGGCAAGCCCAGTCTCCAGGACCTCTGCAAACATCTGGGGCATACTCCACGCCGAAAGTCAAGATGCTGAACCATCTTCGGCTCAGAAAGGCCTTTGCCATTACCTCCCTGCTCACTTTCTCAGGAATTAGGCCTTGACCTCTGCTCCCTCACCTGCCTGTTAAAAGCCACACGGGGAACAGTTGTTCCCCCCCCCCGCCCCAGGGAACTGAGCCTATCTATTGAGGCTCTCTGTCAACCTATCTGTCTTTTATTTTTGAAAAGGAAAAAAAAAAAGGAGGGATAAACTCTGACGTCATGGGCCTGCGTAGGACAGCGGGGTTGGAGGCCATCTGGAGCAGGTCCTGGCAGAGCCCCTGGGAAAAAAGAAAGAGGGCAGCTGGCTCATCAGGTGGGGGTGTCCTGGGGTCAGACAAAGATCTCATGGCACCATTAGGTTAAGCTTTCCTGGAATTTCTCCCAGGACGGACGGATGACACTTCCTTGGCCTCCAGCTCCTGTCTTAAAGCCAGGCCCTGTAGGTGTAGGACTCCTGGAGGAGCCCCCAAGCTCAGAAAGACCTGGCCAAGCTTTGGTCTCTGTGTCCACTGTGGGTCTCCACCACCAAACAGTCCTGGGGAGACTCAGGGGCCCAGGGCCCCCCCCTTTCCCCGGGATTGTGAGTGTTTGCGCCGTGACATTCAGATTCCTCTTCTGCCCCAGCTGCTTGTCCTGCCTTTGTCTAGGGGTCGGAAGCCTCTTGTCAGGCCTCCTGATTCCCTCTACCCCCGTCCAGGAGGCAAGTACAGTTTTTTCACAATTACAGGTGATGAAAGTGAAGGCCCAGAGCAGTGATAGGACTTGGCCAGGGTCCCGCTGAAATTTCCCTGCCCGGCCTCCATAGGATCTGCTCACCGCCTGTTCAGTGTCCTCTCTGGGAAGTTATGCAGCTGGAAGGAGGCCCCTGGGATGAAATAATTGCAGAGAAAACAGATGGACTGCTGAGGATCCCTCCCTTCCTCTGTGAGCCTGAGAATCCTCCTGCTTTGCCCCAGTGCCAGGAGGGGGCGCTGTTTCACAGAGAGCTGGTTCGCCCCTCCTGCCGTGGGGAACTGGACATTCTGTCTTAACCACCCCTTCCCCAGCTTCAGAGAAGCCCTTCTACACACGTTTCTCACTGGAGGAATACTAATCAAGGCCCCCTTCATGTTCCATAGGGGCTGGGTAGCCGAGTGGACACCAACTCTCCCAAGGAAGGGCCGCATCCCTAGTAGGTGCGAGAGTCTCACCTTGCCTTCATGGAGGAGAAAAAGGGAAAAGGGACCCACAGGAATGGAGTCTTCTTTCTCCATGTCTCCACCTTTCAGAGGTCCAGGAGGGAGAAGAGGGTCCCAGCCGTGTGCCTCTCAGATGCTTGGGGTTTGGCACACGTTAGCCCGGCTCTGACTTTTCCCAGTTCCTGTTCCCTCTCTGTGCTTCCCCCCAACTGGCCACTCTCCCTCCGCCTCATCTTTCATGCCCGCCTCCAACCCAAATTTGCTTTTTCCTCCCCACCCTCCAGAGCACAATAGGCTCTCACCCTTGCCAGACAAGCCCTTCCCCCTCTTTATCACAAATGCCTCCAGAACCTACCTCTGCTGACTTGCCTCGCTCCCAACCCTGCCTCCTCTGGGTCTGAAGCCCCCACTTTCCTGAGCATGCAGCACTCTGCAACATCGAGGGGCTGCCCTCCAGCTTCCCTCCGTTTCAAGGACTTGCCCTTTGGCGAGGCCGCTCATTGTTTTTCTTTTACTGCAACCCTCTAAGCCTGGGTGCGCTCCACGGTGTTAGCCCACAGGGCGTCACTGCTTTCTCCTCCTGCCTGCCAGGTCCCTTCCCTGCTCAGCGCAGACTTTTCCTCTCCAGGAAGCCCGCCCTGCTAGCCCAAGCTGGGGGAGCTGCCCTCCCTCCCCACCATTGTCCTTTTCTGCCTATAAAGCTGGTGGCTGTTTCCAGGGGTCCTTCCCTGCAGGGATGGGACTCCGCAGGCTGCCTGGGTGCTCGGCAGATACTTGGGGTATCGGTGGGTGGATAAGAGACACATGACAGGAGTCTCTACAGAACTGCCAGACTCCTGAGTAGCCTTTTCTCTCTCTTTTGCCATTGGCAGGAGTTTTCACGCTGAGCGTTCAATAAAGTGCTGCCAACAGTTCCTGTTCAGCTGCTCAGTGGGTCCAACTTTCCCAGGCCTGGCCCCTGGGGCCAGAGCAGAAAAAGCAGACCTCATGAGGGAAAAGCAGGAAGGAGGAACTTGAGTCCCCATTCTAGACCCAAGAGGGAGAGAGCTTCCTCTGCATCTCGCTGCGGGAGGAACCCAAGGCACTGACATGCTGACCACCTCCTTCCCTGAAGGTTCCTCCAGCCTAGTCCTGGAACTGCTCTTCACCCCACCTTCCGGCAGTTAAGCAGGAGCTGCTCCCTGGCCTGCCCCAGGAAGCGTCGCTCCACAGGTGACTGTTCCTGGATCCGGTCTGTTGCAAATGATCACAGCCCAGTGGTCAGCAGTGGGGGCTCACCAGAAGATTCCACTTCCAAAGAGGGAAAGTAGAGACTGAGACTCTACCCACACTGGGGTGGGGTTGGGTGGGGTTGGTTTATTCAATTTAGTCTCAAAGCTCAAAGAGAGGGGAGACTTAGATAGTTAGCCAGCTGTCACCAAGTATGTCCAAGGGACGCAAAAGACAGGAAGAACCAGCCTGCAGACATTCAGACAGAAGGAGGTAACCACTGTGCACCAGAAGCTTCCAACCTGTCCTTAATGAGGGGTTTCAGAGGAGGTAGCTGTTGTCCCCTGGAAACGAGCCCCATGCCTGGCCCTAGTCAATCTGCCCAGCTCCTTAAACAGGTGTAAATAAAGCAAGTCTCAGGGAAGTTCCAGATTGGTAACACTCTCCTTTGATCAGTAGGCAAAGAGGAGAGAAAACCTCCATCACCTACCCAGAAATCCCTCCCTCTTCCCCCTTCTTGCTCCTCTTCCTGACTCCTCAGATGAAAGAGTGGTGCCACTCTATGGGTGTTACCAGGGAGCAGCAATCAGGGGGGCTGCATGGAAGTGGTGAATCAACTCACCAGAACTCCCAAAGGATGCCCTGTCAATGTCTGAATCCTCTTCCGGGCTCAGAAATTCTGCTACCCCAAACTCAGACCTCGGGTGCGGGTTATTTCCTAAACAAAAGGACCTTGGGCTTGGTGGTTGTGCAGTCCTGGGTGGGAAGGGGAGAGCCTGAAGGGACGGTGTGCCATTGCCTCCTGCCGTCTAGGCCCAGCTGTGGGAACTACCCACGTGGCACCTGATTCCCCCTGCTCTTCTCGACTGTCACTGCCCTGTGCCTTGGCCACAGCTTCCGATCCCTGAAACAACTCCTCCAGGCACCTGCATCTGGCTGTGGTCTTCTTGCCTAGGGACTGCCCCCGTGTCCCTGTTGTGTGCTCTCCAGCAGAGGTCCTGCTGGGTGGCAGTGGGATCATACACTTCGGCACCTGGCTCAATTCTTGAGGTGCCCATCCCCAAGGGACTCCTCAGAGCTCAAAGGCACCAAGACACCCTGCCCCAGGAGAGGGAGTTGTGAGCAGCAGGTATAAGTGACTTTTGTCCCGACAGCTTCAGCACAGATCTATCTGAGTCAGAAAACAACGAAGGCAACCGCCTTTCACAGTTCACGGAAGCCACACTGGGCTCGAAGCTGGGTAAAGCTCCCTCCCCAGCCCGTGCAGGTGCACAGGACGCCGCAGCGAACATCGTCACGTTGCGGTTCCTCGGTTCCTCGCGTGGGTGCAGACAGGCTCGGGCGCGCACCCGTGAGTGCACACGGAAGCCATCCGCCGGGTCAGGGCGGTTCTGTGCGACGGACCGAGGCTGAGCGCGAACTTAGAGCCACCGTGACGGGTACAGGATGCTACTGCACATACGCACCGGCACCACTATCTCGGGCCTGCCATCTTAGCCCATCTGTTCGCGATTCACTCTGAAACACACCCGCAGGCGAAAAGCTTGCCCTCTCCGGTGTAGGACTTGCGCTCCCCCCTGCGGCCCCCGGGCAAACCTCGCTCTCCCTGCGCCTCCCGCCCAGACCTCCGCCCCATCCTCTGCCTCCCCAACTTAAAGACGTTGGTGCGATCTGACTTCCCGAGTAGGTGAAAGGTGGAGCCGCAGTACCAGGCCTGCACCTGTCTGGTGCCCAGGGAAGAGTTTGGCAACAAGACAGATCTGCGTGGATTTCGGGCTGGGCCAACTTTACCGCTGTGCGGCTTCGGGCAAGTGACTTGGTTCCTCTGAGCCTGTCTTTGCAGCTGCACAGAGGGAAACTGATCCCTTCTAGGGAGAGCGCGTGTGTTGAGGTCCAAGCGTGTGTGCAGGGCACCGGGAGCAGCAACGCTTGGCATGCCTGGCACGCGCTCGCTGCAAATGGAGTTCCCTGTGCGCGCCGCTTTGCAGCCGCGAGTGCAGCGGGAGAGAGCTGGCGGAGCCGCGGGATCCCTCCGGGGCTGGGATGGAGGTGGGGGCAGTGGGGGAGCCCCCGCGGCCCCCTCCGGGCCCTCGGCGCGCGTGCCATTGGCCCGGGCGGCCGGGTGGGCGGGAGGATGACATCAGCGGCAGGTTGGATTATAAAGGCGCGAGCGGAGCCGCGGGCTCAGAGCGCACCCAGCCGGCGTCGCGCAGCACTGGGACTCGCGCCCACACCGCAGCCCGGCCAGCCTGCTCCGCGCTCGCCTGCCTGTCTGCCCGCCGGCCCCGTGCGCCCTCGTTGCCGCGGGTCTGCGTCCCTCGACCCCACCGGCACCATGCACCTCTCCCAGCTGCTGGCCTGCGCCCTGCTGCTCACGCTACTCTCGCTCCGGCCCTCCGAAGCCAAGCCCGGGGCGCCGCCGAAGGTGGGTGCTGTTGCATGGACAGCGGGACTGTGAGGGGCCATGGGAGGGCTGGGGGCCTAGGAGGATGCGGCGCACAGGAGGGAGCAGAGGGCGGGAAGGCTGCCCTCTTCTCCGAGCTGTGCACGGGTGAGAGCCGGGGAGCCCTCGAATCCAACTCGGGGGGTCTAGGTCCCCAGCCTCGGGAGAACGTCGACAGATGCGCAGCCCCTGCCCCAGTGTGGCCAGCCCGGCAGGGGGCAAAGAAGGGGAGGGCAAGGGGCTCCCGAAGGAGCGGACAGCGGCGGCCGCGTGGCAGGTGGCTGCCGGGCCAAGCTGTCCGGCATCTGTGGGGGCGCGCTCAGGGCTCGGAAGGGACAAATCGCGCGGGCGGGCGCGTCGGGCTGGAGCATCAGGGGTCCCGCAAAGTACCTCGCGCTGCCGCCGGGCGTCCCTTCACCTGCCCGCCGTTTCCCTCGGACAGGTCCCGCGAACTCCGCCGGGAGAGGAGCTGGCTGAGCCCCAGGCTGCGGGCGGCGGTCAGAAGAAGGGCGACAAAACTCCCGGGGGCGGAGGCGCCAACCTCAAGGGCGACCGGTCGCGACTGCTCCGCGACCTGCGCGTGGACACCAAGTCGCGTGCGGCGTGGGCCCGCCTTCTGCATGAGCACCCCAACGCGCGCAAATACAAAGGAGGCAACAAGAAGGGCTTGTCCAAGGGCTGCTTCGGCCTCAAGCTGGACCGGATCGGCTCCATGAGCGGCTTGGGATGTTAGTGCGGCGACCCCTGGCGGCGGTGAGTACCACCAACCCTGGCGGCCCGGAGCTTGTGCACACCTAGCTCCCCCGCGGCGCCCGCCAGAACCAAGCCTGAACCCCCACCCCACCCCACCCCACCCCCCCGCCGCCCGCAGGCCGATCCCTCTCTGATCCCCTGGCGCTGGGATCGTTCCGCCTCCCAGCCGACCTTTGGAGGCGAGCCAGACGATCCCAGCACGAGAACCGGTGTGTGTGCGAGGCATTTGCCCCCAACCCCATTGATCGTCCCATTTTACAGACGAAAAAAGTGAGGGATAAAGCGGTCAGGGAACTTTGGCAAGGTCAGAAATGGCTCAACGCGGACGAACCCACCTCACTTCCTTTAGAGAAGCAGAAACAACTTGGTGGGGTCCTGCCCACTCCCCGACCATAAGCCAACCAGCAGAACTGGTCCCAATCGGCCATTTGAGTGTATTGAGGGGAGATGGCGGGTTTGTGGGAGCAGAGAAGGAAGGGCAAACACACAAGCGGAGGGTAAGTTTATCTACCAGCCACTGGTATCGTGGTGCCCAGGCATTAGGCAGCCCAGAGGTCAGGGCTGCTTCCCGGGACTAATTTGGACATACTTGGAGAAATACCTGCCCCTTCACAATAGAGAGAATAGCCTTCTGTCGGCATCACCAGGATGCCCTTCTGCCCCAGAGCTTTCTGATTCTTACTCCTTCTCTAAACCCTGGCTGTGAGCAGACTGGTCTGTCCAGGGTCCTGATGCTGCTTGCTGCCTGCAAGACTTCAGGATGGAAACTCAGTGTTCGAGGCATTATTTCAGGTCAGGGAAAAAGACTAAAATAAATTTTTTTTTTTTTTGCCCCAACCTGGACCTCAGCATGTCCCAAACGGCTCCTCACCATCTCCCCGCCTCCATCATGCCTGGGACCCCTGTTTCTGGCGTGTCCTCCACAACCTCTACCAGGGCTGGAAACTCCTGTGCTCCCTTCAGCCCCTGCCGGGTGCTGCATCCTGGCAGTGTTGCAAAGACCCTCCCCACCTCCCCCCTCCTGTCCGTCCCTGCTGCCCATCAGTTCTCACGGAGAAACGGAGCCCACCTCTGAAAGTGACATTCAAGTGCTTTAGGATCTGACTCTTTTTGGCATCCAACATTTCCCGGCAGCCTCATGGCTGCCATTCTGGATCACACAGCCTGTCTGTCCCACTCTGAGACCACGGGGAAGCGGCTCTCTTACCCTGGAAGCCTTGTCAGCCTCCACGCTGTCTGCCCCCAGAGGGCAACAAGAGCGCCCCTCTTTGAAGCTCTCCGGCACATTGCCTAAGCCTTTTTGACAGCACGGAACCCTTTTTCAACAGAGCCAGAGTTGCTTGGGAACCTATTTAGCTCCTCCAGATGAACTCATGAGCAACTTGAGGGCCAAGTGCTAGCCAAAGGTGATCTGGAACCCACGGCAGCCCAAAGAGGCTTTTAAAAATATTTGTCAATGACCAGAGAAACATGCCCCCTCCCACCCAGCTTAGGGGCATCCCTCTCCCACCCGCCTTGGGCTTTAGCAGGGCTTCCCCTCTGTACAGCCAGACCTGACTGTGTGTTCCCCTCCATTTCTGCAGGGGCTTCATTTGTCTGAGATCTTGATTCACCCCTGCCCAGGAAGAGGTGATTCTGGCCTTTCGTAGCTTCCATTGTCGTGGTTTTGGTCTCTTCCGTCCTGTCTAAACAATGAAGAGATGGAGCTACAGGCCTCACATTTTTTTAGTTCACGTTGATTTAAGCACCGACCTCAAACTTTAGAATCTAAACAAATGTTATTCAACAGGTTAGCAGGAGACAAGATGAGGAAGGGGACCTGGAAAGTGTCTGGCGTGCACGTCCCCCTAGGCTCCTTGTTCTTGGGTGTGGCCGGCTAGGGAGGTGCTGGGCAGGAGGCCAGATTGCTAGGATGCTCAGCCCCTTTGATGAGGGAAATTTGTCGACCTCCCAGAAGTTCTGTCCTTAACAGCCACCTCCAGCTCCTTAACCTTTTCAGCCCCACCCTCACACCACAGCCGTCAGGATAAGACAGAGCATCCTTCCTGTTGCCGGCAGCCTCCTAGCAGAGACGACCCAGGCAGCTCACTGTCTCAGCTTCAAAGACAGAGACAGCTTAGATTTTTCACATTCATGAAAACTCATCCCAGGCTGTGGCCATTTCTTCACTCAGGAGTTGACTTTGGCTCTAAGTAGCCACCATAATGACTGTCGCTGACGGTTACAGTCTTGATTATAAAATTCTAATGACAGAGACGGGGTGTGGCCGATGCCTGAATGAACACCTTGCCCAGGAGCCCCAGGGACATCCCAGACATCTGTCATTGTTTAAACACATAGGGCAGCCAGAGACGGGAGTTGAGGGACAGTTCACCAAGGCCCAGGGTCCCTGTGCATGTGCTGGCCTCTGGGAGGGCACCACACCATCTCAGGGGGACTCCTTCCTCAGGCCCCAGAGCACCCACACGCCCGTTAGCAGAGAACCGGTAGAGCCCTCAGCAAAGGACTCTTTTAACTCTCAACCCAGCGAACCCAGTATGACCATTCCTTGCCCCAGGGCTGGCGTGAGACCCCGCTCCCTCTGCGTCTGAAGGGGACCCTTTCTGCGGCGCAGCGAGCTACAGACGGAAGTGCTATTTAAGGAGGGGCAGCTTGACCCAGACACTCTGCCAGTGCCCAACGTGTGGCCCCCCGTTGAATCTTAAAGCTGGCCCTGGGGAGATGGCTATTATTCCATTTTATGGGTGAGGAGAGCAATACTCAAAGCTATCCAGGGCCATCCAGGAAGTTAATGTCAGAGTTGGGATTCGAGCCCAGAACTCCCAACTCCTCAGATGGGTGTCTTCCCCTTCCCTCAGCTGTCACGCAGACACAGAAAGCCGAGGCAAGCACCTCGTGGAGGGTTTGTGTCGTTAGCAAAAAAAGGAAGGAGGGCATTTGCACTGTCCTCTCCTCCCCGTGCCTCACCCGGTGCCAAGGGCCGGGCCTGCAGGGAGCCTGAGGGGGAGGAGGGCTGGCAGACATCCTGGTTCCACCTGCGCTGGGGCAGGAAGTGCCAAGGACACTTGGCAGATGAGGTGAGGGCCAGAGAGGGGCCCCTTCCCCGCTCCAGGACGGCCTTGTCAGGGCTAGTCGGCCCAGGTGGGACGCGGCTTCACACTGCTCGGCAAAAGGGCCTGTCCTGCAGGCTGGGCTTCTCAGCTAAGTGTCCCATGTCCCCTCTGTGTTTCAGGATCGGGAACTTGCTCCGTTTTGCTGAGGTCATTCTTGGTCATCAGCCTCACAGCATCTGGAAGCACCTCCAACGCAATGTGGCTTTTACATTTCCTTTTTTTTTTTTTTCCTGGTACTAGGAATACACAACACCAGCTGTTTTATTATTATTTGGGAAGGGGGGGTATGATTTTATTGTTTGGGTTTTTTTTAATGAAAAATAAAAAGTTATATATTATATATATATTATATACATGCAACACACACCTACACAAACGTGATGACAAGGGACAGTTTTTAAGAGACTGACAAAACCAGCTGTAAAACGTTGCTGTTTGTAAATTCATCTCATGCATAAATGTATTTATGTTGTAAAGCTATTTATATTGTTTATAAAGAGATATTTATAAAAATTTTATTTATGTAACTAAATGAAAGAAGTCAATCATTGTAATGTTTTTGTCTTAACTAGTGGAAAAATGTAAAAAAAAAAGTCATTCCATGAACATCTTGAAAACTGTCTTTATTTACTTACTGCATTTATTGTTTAGATATTAGTCTGAGGAAGAGGGGAAATGTGAAGACAAGGCTTTTGCCTTTCTTCCCTCCAGCTGTAGGTTCAACCAGTTTCCCGATTCCGGATTTGTTTGTATCAGAATCCCCTGGGGATCCTGGGGCACCTGGGTGGCTCAGTCGGTTAATCGTCTGCTTTCAGCTCGGGTCATGATCCTGGGGTCCTGGGATCGAGCCCAACGTCCGGTTCCCTGATCAGCAGGGAGCCTGCTTCTCCCTCTCCCTCTGCCCCCCAACTCATGCTCTCTCTCCCTCTCTCTCCCCTCCCTCTCTCTCAAATAAATAAATAAAATCTCAAAAAATAAAAATAAAAAATGAAAAAAGATCTTGGGGATCTTGCTAAAAGTAAAGACTCCTGCCCCCACCAAACCCCTGATTGAATCTGAGCCCCCTGGGCAGGATAAGACTCGCCATGTGCGGGGCGCCTGGGTGGCTCAGTTGGTTGAGCGACTGCCTTCGGCTCAGGTCATGATCCTGGGGTCCCGGGATCGAGTCCCGCATCGGGCTCCCTGCTCGGCGGAGAGTCTGCTTCTCCCTCTGACCCTCTTCCCTCTCGTGCTCTCTCTCTAGCTCATTCTCTCTCTCAAATAAATAAATAAAATCTTTAAAAAAAAAAAAAAAAAAGACTCGCCATGTGCATTTTGTCTCTGATGCTTCTGACCAGTTCGGCCAGTCAGGAGGCTCTGCTCAGAGCCCTTCACAGCTGGGAAGTCAGATGCTGTGAATTAAATTAATGTAGAACTTAGCTGACTGAGGGTCCTCTAATTCTATTCCATCTTTTCTCTGTTATTAGAGGAGGGAAAGAACTGGAAACTCCCCTTCTGTTTGGAGAGATTTAGATTTCTGTGTAGGTTGCAGAATTGGTCAGGTTACCTTGTGAATCTTAGCGCACAAACGCATTCGGTGGGTCGTTTTATCTCAGAGTGAATGTCATGGTCAGAAGGGACCAAGGCCAAGGACCTCAGAGAGTACAGGAGGTATCAGCTCCCGTGTTTGCACAGTGTGCTGGGCTTTGCCAGGGGTTGTGGTGTTTCTCTTCACTTGAAGCTGCTAACAATTATGATTCCTATGCCCGGTGGAGCCTGAATGTGACATTATGAATATTTAGAATCTCTTTGCCTGAAACCTGCAAGAAAATCAAAGAACTCCGAGATAATCTCACCACATCTTTGGCGTGGTGACCTCTTCCATCTGTCTCTTGTCCCCTGTTGGGTGAAAGCAGGGACAAAAAGAGCCTTTCGGGCTGGTTATATCAGCTGGGAGGGAATTGGACAGCGTGGCCCCCAGGTCACGGGTCGGCAGGCCTGGCGCAGTGGTTCCCCAGGAAAACCGGCACGTGGGGGAGGCGGCCAGGACACCCAGCCTTTCTGTTGACATCGGAGCTCATGGCCTTTCTTCCCTGCAGCTGCAGGTTCTCAGGACAACCCAGTGACCTCGCCCAGGTGAGAAAACTGCTTCTAAGACAGGTTCCAGCTGGGGAAGGTTAGGGCTCCTCCCAACCCCCCCAACTTCCGCCACTGCGCCAGGGAACTGCTCGTCCAGGGTGTGGCTATCTTCCTTGGTCTCACCCCACCTCTGTGGCTTAGAACTCGGGTGCCTACGTCAATGAGGGTGAGGGGTTGCTGTACTCAGGCCTCACCAGTGCCTCAGTTCACTGTGCTGTCTGCAGACCCCATGCCAGGGGATGCAGAGAGGGGCTGCAGAAAAAGGGGGAACAAGAAGGCAAGGGGTACACTGTGGGCTTTGCGGGTGGTGAGGTAGGGACATCTCCCCTAACCCCAAAGACACAAGGGGGGAGAATTCTGGGATTCAGGGAGTCACCAAGCTAAAGGCTTTTCCTGTGAACAGGATCTGGGGTGCTAGTAACCCCCCAGCCCAAGTATGCATGCCATCCGACCAAGTGGCTCTCACCCCATGAGTTAGTCCACAAATAGCACGCACGACTCTGTTGTCAGCTTCAGTCCCCACCGGGTGGAAGCCAGTCCCTCAGTCTGTTGGCTTAAGATGTTGCTAGACAGCCAGTCCTCCTTTGCTATCCAAACCTGAACTCCTATGGCTGCTTCCCCAGCAGTGACAAGGACATGTCATCCCGGCTGGAATTTCTGCTGAAAAGCCAGGAAGGATAGACAAATATTCCATAAATAACAGGACAAGTTTTGAAACCCTCAGAGATTTCCCCAGGTAGTATTACCCAAGAAATTCCAGTCCTCTGGTCTGGGTCTTGGTCTCCCCCGTCTCCACAACCACCTTGCCTCCAGAGCTGCCTGGGGAACCCACAGCTTCTGTCCCATGCAGGGTGACCACCACAGCCAGGACCACCTGGAAGGTATGGCTCCAGAGAGGTACCATCCCTGCACCTACCATGGAGGTGATGGGAGCACTAAAGACAGAGTCTCCAGATCCTCGGCCAGGCATGTGGTTCCAGGAGTCTACCTCTGCCCCTCCACACACCCAGGACATGGGAGGTCCTCCGGTGATAGCCATGACCCCAAAGGGGTGGTCCGAAATGGACTGCACAGGAGCAGGGAGCCTCTGGGGGTGATCAGAGAGATGACAATGTCTGGACAGGCTCAGAGCCTGGAAAGGGGCAGACTGAGGAGCCCCCTCTCTTAGGGACCATGTAAGTGGGGAGGGTCCCATCAGAAATGGAATTTGACTCAGACGGTTCACATGAAGAGGCTTTACTGAAGGTACTACTCACAGAGGTGTGGGCAGGTGCCACCGAGGAGCCAGGGGGTGGTCACTTCCTCCCCTGGGAGGAAAGGAGGAAGCTGTCCCTGAGTTGGAGCTGAGTGAAGGGGGTGTCCTATGGAAGCTGGGCCATGGTGCAGGACATGTCCCCAAAACAGGGAGAAATACCCCAACCTCTCTTTCCCCTCCTTGCTCCCTCTCTTGCTGGTGCCTCACAGGCTGTAGGCTGAGGCTGGGAGGCGTTTCTCTCTCTGGTACCTTAGTAAGGTCCGTCCTTCCTGATCCATCCTGATTCTGACATCACATTGTCTGTCAGTCACTTCAGAGTCCTAGGAGTTTGGGTCCCCATCTACACCTTCCTGTATGTGTGGCCCTCTCCAGAAACAGTTTTGGGGCCAGGAACTGTTTGCCAACAAAGTACATTTCAGATTTGCGAGGGGCAGAAGTTTATCTACTTCATTAATGTTTTTCCCTTTTTCATGGTACCAGGACACAGGCTCTTAATTAATTCCACTAGTTTGCTATTTTCTGATCTGAATATTTTTGCTCATGTATTTTTTTACTTAGTAATATCATCTACATTGGTTTTCTTAACAACTCCCTCTAAATTTGTAATTGAACATTGATCTCTGAGTATGGCTGAGTGTCACTGCCACTTAAGGACTTCCTACATCGCATGCCCTGTATTTCCTAGTAAAGTCTTTTTTATCTGATATGAACATTATCAGTCCAATTTTATTTTTGTTTGTGCTTGGTATCTTTGCCCAAACTTGGATTCTTCCCCTTGCTGTGTATTTTTTTTATTTAGGTGTGTTTATCAAGTTTTAGATTAAAATATACGTAATTTGAGACATTTTGGAATTTAATAAGGAAACTAGATTGTTCACATTTGCCGTCATTATTGCTTATTCTTGGGCCAACTTCTTCGTCTGCATTTTAACTCTGTTTTTAAGGTTCTTTAATTTTTTTTTGTTCCTTTACATTTAATTTTTTTTTTCTGTAGACTTTTGCTTGCTTTTATCTTCTGCAATGATTTGGAAAGTAGACATCCTGTTTTTAATTCTGTTAGTGGTTCCATTTATTTTTTCATGAAAATTATTAAACCCACATTTATATTATTATCAAAATCAAAATCACGAACAATAACTGCAGGCTCCTTCACAAGAGAGACAAAGAATTTAGCCCATTTATTTTTTCCCTGGTCTCTGTCCTTTCTGGATCTCCATTAACATAATCTGAGGGCACTCTCCTCAACTAGACCATTAAAACCACCAAAACATCCTCTCTCCGAAATTCCTTCAGCTTTCTGTTTGTTGCCCCATTGCAATCAGATATTTAGACCTTCGACCCTAACCCTCTTCCCCAGATGGGGTCCCATTGCATACTATGCCTTTCCCTAGGCCGGCTTCTCTACCCACTGCCTGTCTGTCTCCACGGTCATTGGTGGGGGGGCTCCAGCTGGTCTGGGGTTTCCATTTCAGCCCCAGGGTATGGTATGTTGTGTGTGTGTGTGTGTGTGTGTGTGTGTGTAGTATGTGTGTAGGGGATGTGTGTGTATGTATGTTGGGGGCATATGGTGTGGTGTGTGTGTTTATGTTGTGTGGGGGGTGGTGTGTGTATGTTCTGTGGTGTGTGTGTTTGATGTATGTGTAGGGTATGTGTGTGTGTGTCTCTTGTGGGGGGCTGTATGGTGTGTGTGTGGTGTGTATTGTGTGTCTGTGTGGTGTGTGTGCGTGCATGTGTGTATGATGTATGTGTAGGATGTGTGGGGGGGGCTGTATGGTGTGTGTGTGGTGTGTATTGTGCACGTGTGTCTGTGCAGTGTGCGTGCGTGCGTGCATGTATGATGTATGTGGGGGGGGTGTTGTGGGGGCTGTATGGTGTGT